ATACGCAATTGCATATGCGTTGCCTATCTTTAGTCTCCCCTAAATTATGTGACTAGGTCATAATCAATGCTGGTCCAGTGCGTCACTTCACACATATCTTTGACTATCACAGATATGTGCAGCATGACGATGTTTTCCTTTACTTTTTTTTATAACAGAAGGGGGCAAACGAGCAGCGGGAACACCGAGGTGTTCAACGACGCCCATGGACATCAGCAATACCAGAGGAACCGCAAGTGTTGCCGGCCTTTGAGATAGTGATAAGCTCGCTTCTTGAAGGACCCTAAGTCGTAGCGGTTTGGAAATACCGCCGAGGACAGACCATTCCACAACGCTGCTGTGACAAAATATTAACTCCCCTGTGTCCAGTCGGGTATAGTACTAAGAATTGGTTTCTATGTAAAAAACTCTGTATAAAACATATCGTTATACTGAATATGTTTTAAACGTGGATTTTTTTTGTTGAAAATTAAAAATAAAATATAATTTAATTTGATAATTTTACTGCAATAAAACATTTTATGAGATATGGAAGTGATACGTAATAACATTCGGTGCACACTAGCGCCACTCATAATGTTACGGGTAAATTAAATTTGCATATGGATGTAGAAAATGTAATAACCTATTGTCTAACCGTATCTGGTTGAATTGCAAAGTAATAGTTAATTTCATAACGAATTATTGTCTAGCAGCTGTTGCCTACGACTCCTTTCAGGCCGAATTAAAAAAAAACTTAATTAGTAGTCCATATGTTCTTCCAGACTATGTTCTACATCTATGACTTTCAGCGAGATCCATGCAGCTGTTCTGTACCTTTTAAAATACATCGATCCATACATTCAACTAACAAAAGCAAGAAAAGTTAGATGCATCTGTGTGCTACATATACGCAAAATGCATTATTCGTAAATTATTTAATTCACAGAATTCACAAAAAATGTATTTAACGGAAGACTTCAAGAAGAAATTCACGAGTCAATAATAATTTTTATCTAGATAATCAAACATTTATTAATATAAATTTTTATAAATGTCTAATAAAATCCCCCTATTCCTATCCCTGAAAGCCTTTATCATCGTCGAAGACATTTATTGGCCATTTTAAACATAATTCTTAAGGTAACCGGGCAATAGATGTGATTTATACACGAATACTAGAATGGTCCCCTTAACATAAAACCTTGAAAAAATCTTACATAACCTAGATACATTGACACAAAAATGTAGCCACATTTTGCCCCAAATTATGCCTTAAAAAGGTTGTTCCTCCAAAATGGATCAGTGCTGTCATTACCGTTATGAAAGGCGAAATAAGGAGGAAGCTACAATACTTCGTTCAAAGCTAAAAATTGGTAGGTATTTTCAGAACACAATTAAGAACCTTGAAAAATCCCCACAGACCCCGCATACGGAAAAAAATATGGTCAATTTGCCCAAAAATATAATATTCGCGAAAAAATAGTAAGTGGTGATTGACACAATACCAATTTGCAGTTTTTAATAATCATCAGCTCACTATACATCCCCACCGAGGGGCTCGGAGTTAAGTTAGTGATGACTAGGTTCAACCACAGGCCCAGTACGGGTTGGTTGATTTCACAGATATCTTTGAATTTCTTCTCAGACATATGCAGGTTGCATCACGATTACAGGGGAATCCATTGCCCGCCATTGAGGGCGGCCTCTCCCCGTGAGGGAGCTGCCTCGGCAGCTGACGCTGACGGGATCGCGGACGAAAGCGAAAGCGTGCCCGTGGTCTCGTCCCGATGCGTTGAAGGAACAGAGAGGGGGTATGCCTTCGTTATGAAGGAGAATCCCACATAACTACCGCGTCCCCCCCGGGGCGCGGATTATGCATAAAGCATTCCTCTCTGGAAAAAAAGGTTGCATCACGATGTTTTCCTTCACCATAAGAACATAGGATAAATGTACATAAGTAAATCGGAAATGGAAAAACACATTGGTACATGGCGCGATAACCCAGGACCTGCAGATTACAAGACAAGTGCTTAAACAACTGAATCGCGCTCTGCGTTTGCAGTTCTATGCGAATTATTATAGCATATTCAAATTGACCGGAGAATATGGTGAGGTCCATTTGCATTTTAATTGTACAAAAACATTGAAATGGTAATGTGTAATTTACGCATATTGATTTTACGAGAGACAAACAGTGGTAGAGCGAGCTTTAACATCTTCGCACGAATTGGCCCGGCTCGCACGGTGAAATACCACGACCATACAGAAGACGTGCAGTCTGATGAGTGTGCGTCCCGGAAGCCTAATTTAGTGCTCTTTCCCTTCCCATCCTTTTTCTTATAAGGAAAGGATGGGAAGTGGAAGTGGACTTTCCGGATGAGAGGATGCATGGAAAGGGAATATGTTTTCTTTCTGTGCATCCTCTCCTCCGTCGATTAAATGTAGGCAACGCATATGCATTTGCGTATGTCTATGGGTCACTTCGTTCGATTTCAGGTGGCCGCTCGCTCGTGAGCCACCTTATAAAAAAAAAGAAAAACAATGCAAAATGTTGTAAAAAAAGGTTTTATTGTCGTATTAAAGGAACTAATTTCGGAGAAATATACAAAAGAAACTCATGTACTCATCACTACATTCATAAACTTTGTACAACATGAAACCTTCTTAAATTTCTTCTTAAAATTTTAAATGGCCGCACGCTACAAAAGTCTTTGCCCAAGGAGAATGCTTAAAAATTTCTGAATAGAAACTTGATTGCACTTTTTAATCTACATTCAAATTTATAATGCATTGTGTTGTATATTCTTTAAAAAAGATGCTTTAAATATTAAAATAGTTACTTGTTCATAGTTTAAATATTTAAAAAAAAAGTTACTGCTTTTCTTTTTAATGTTGGTCTTTGACAGATTGACAGTGATGAATGGTCAAAGACTAAGTTAACATGGAAGTACTAAATTGCTCGTTTACTTGTGCGTTTCGTTTGATAAGTGACTGTGTTGGGAGCCTTATTTTGGTCCTCATTCCCATACCACTCTTTTCTTGTACGAAAGAGATGAAAACAGAGAGGTGGATTATGCGGAGGGAACGCATTGAAGGAAAAATAATCACTCTCCGTGTCTTCCCTCCGCTGCCAATTAAAAGGAGACAACGCCGATGTCTATAGGCAAGGGTCGCGTCGTTATTTTGACGAATTTAGGTGGCCCGTCGTTTACGAACAAATTCGAGGGAGCCAGGTAACTGAGGCCTTGTTTTCCCTAACATAAGGTAAATGAAGACGAAGAAAATGGAGACAGTTTTTAATTTCGTAGACATTTTTGATTCAAACTGATTTAAAAAAATATATGTCTTCCCTACAAAAGCGATGGTAGGTTACTCGTTAAAATATTCAAGCCAGTGTTTCCTATGCGAAAGGGATGGAGATTTTAATATAAATTCAGCCAAAACAAACATAGAGGTTGTATTGTTTTAGGAGCAGACGTATTGTTACAGGCTGTTAATTAAATAAAATTTTAATACAATAGGCTGGATAAATTATAAAGAATATTTTATGTTTTAAACTGTGTGTTGAAATACTCGTACAAAAAAAAAACTGTTGGCATCTCTTTTATTCTCCTTGTAAAAAATGAGACCGCAATATGTTTTGGTTTTCGCGCTCGTCCGTTCCGTTGTGATCTGTATTTACTGCCCTCTATTAAATGGTCAGGCTATTAGCCCTGGTATTTTGTGCCTATTTGATTTTCGACATTTTGGCGTTGATGGTTCCGGTTAGGTGTGGTGATGGGGATTGTCAGGAACGTGGGAACTGTCATTTCCGAGCATGTCCTATCCATCTGTAGACATCAGTGTCTGTATACCATAGATTCGCTAATTTTAAAAGATAGGGTTATTCGATTCGTTATAACTCTGTTACAAGTCGTCTGTCGCAAGATTTTTTAGGTCTGTACAATGGCGGAAAATAACCTTGAGAGTTCAAATTTAAGAATCTGATCAAAAACACTAAAAATATATTTTTAATAGAGATCTACGAGAAAGAACTCTATATATTTCTGGTATTGTACACGGACATGTTTTTGTATACAAGATTTCACTAATATCCTTTGGGATTTTGTGACCTTTTCAAAATGTTTGGGACATCGTAAACGATCCCGGATGGAAGATAAGAATTCATCCCTTATTAATAAAGTATAGCGTCATATACGTTTGACAACTCTACCTTTAATAGGACGGGGATTTTAATATTTTTTTTATTTAGCTGTTTTGGGCGACGGTTTTTAGGTACTTTTAATGACACGATCATAGAGTAAGTATGTGTATGATTTATGGTTTGTTTCAAAGATTAATTTATGAAATAATCTGTTAGATCTCTAAATAAATAAGTAAAATGAATATGGGTGTTTGTAAATATTATTTTTTCAAATTAATGTAACTCTTTGCGTGTCGGAAGTTAGTCTATGATAAAAAAGCAAACACAGATACCTTGTAGAAAAAATCTTTAATCTAAGTCTACCCTTTTAAGCAAATTTCCGCTTTTAGACTTTACGAAACGACTTTTGTCCCGTTTTAATTTCTTAATAAAAAATCTTATATAATTAATTGCATTGCGTTTTTGTTAATTCTAGTGACGTATTAGATTTAAAAACAATATTATTTATCAGTTTAATTTAAGCGTTAATATTGAAATTATAAAAAAAAATTGTCAAAGCAATTTTAAAATTAAAGAAAACTTAACTTAAAATAATTTGTTTGATTAATTTTAAAAAAGGCTAGAAATATTTACGTAATAATTTAAAACAATGTAGTTAAAAATAAATGGAATCATAATTATAAAAATAAAAAACAGAAAAAAACGACAATGGTTACGAGCTTTATGATATTGTTGAATGTCAATTTTTTTCACGTACAGACTATATGTTTTTAAAGATTGTTCTATTTTTGAAAATGTATAAAAACTTTTTGTCTTTATTATTTTCAAATTTCTCTTTTAAATATATTTTTAATAATTAATGTAATATACTTACAGATAAATAGAGGCACGAAGTCGGATAATAATTAGAAATCACTGTTTTTTCACATTCTTTAAACTTTTTTTAAATTTCAAAAGGAAAAACATTTGGTTTCTTTTTTTTTAATTATCAATTTATTAAAACACAAGTGGGCGCCGTTCATCAATCTATCCTTTTTCCGTGCACCTCTCTCTTTCTAATCAGATCCTAGAAGTAGTCCGGGATTTCAAACGTATATTTATCACTTTTATTAGCATTTATGTAACCGGATCGATATATTTGCACTGTGTTTATTCATGTCGGTAGTGAAGAGGACATTTTAAGTGCTACGCGTCATATTACATTTGTTTAGTAAAGAGGCGTTGACGATAAATCGATATAACTTCAGACACGACCGCGTCTGCCCGGGCACGAGCGATCACTGAAAATGTCGAGCTATAGTTGGCCAAATATAGACCAATCCTGAAACGTTATAGGAAAACAGAACATTTGTACAGTTTGCCAAACGTTTGAATATTTGTAATTTTTCTATACACAGCAATTACTAATTAATTTGTGTTGTTATTAATTTAAAATATTAATTTTACATAACTTTTTTTTATATAATTATAAAATCGTTAGTATTAGATATGGAAAATTTTTGCAGCGTAAAGATTGGCATATTTGTAGACCAATATGGGAGTAGCTTCACAGTGCTGCCCTCTACATCAGTTTATCGATGACCGAGTTTGACAGTTAAACCAGTGTTGCAATTTACGAGGCAATTTCGCAAAATTTCAGCACTTTTATACTTTTGACACATATTAAATGAAAATGGGAAATTATTGTTCCACATAAATGCAATTATTTTAATAGTGAGAGTTGTTAAGATGAAATATTTATTTAAAAAAGGTTTTATTATTATTAAACTGTCGGCCACGACTCCCTTCGCGCGGAAATGTAAAATAAAGTTTAAATTATGAACCTATGTGTTCTTTTAGACTATGATCTACATATTCCTTTCAGCGAGATCCATGCTAATAGATAATACGTTCTTGAGATAATTTCCAACAAACATCCATCTAAACAATCGCATTTATAATATTAGTAAGAAGTAATACTGATTTAGTGCAATCTTACAAAATTGAAACTAAAGCCGACGCCTATTTCGAAAAATACATTTTTCTCAAGAAGAATAGAAGATTTATTCGACATTTTTTGTTTCATTTTTAAATTCTTTAAAGTGAAAGTAATTATAATAACATTAAGCGCTCTATAGAATTCAGTATAGTCTATTGTAGTTGTGAAGTCTGGAAAGCTTTAGTGTGCGCTTAGAAACGAATTTCCGTTATTTGCTTTTTATAATGAATGTTTCAACGCTATTGTTTTATAAAAATATCAGAAAAGGCGTTTAATAACGAAGGTTCCAACAAAGCGAAGAGTAGAGTAGATTATAAATACGAATGTTTAGATGGATGTTTGTTAGAAGATATCTCCAGAATGGTTGTATGGATCTCGATGAAATTTGTCATAGATGTAGAACATCCGGAAGAACACATAAGTTACTAATTAAGTTTTTTAGAGTCGCGGTCGAATAATAGTATGATATTACGTCTAAAATAAAGTTATAAAATTGCTATTGGTTTTATTCAAAACATAAATTCGGATTTTACATATTCTTGGAATGTCTTCGATTTTTGTTCTTCGTATTTTCATATTGTTGCATCATCCTGTTAAAATAAAAATGTATATCACATTAAAACAAGAAATTACAAAATATATTTGAAATAACAGAAGCGATTTTATTAGTTTCGTAATTTAGTTTGTTGTTTGTATACTTTTGACAGTTTAGTCCAACAGTTACTGACTTTTGATACAAGATGTCGCTATTTTTAATTCGCTAATCAATAAAAAAAAACATTTTAAAATTATAATTTCGATATTTTCATTTATTTTACGTTATTATATAGACAAAATAAATAGAATCTTTAACCTTTTTGTCATTTTTTACGACTTATTTTTATAATTTGATCTAGATTAGGTGAATATAAGGTTCAATTATTTTAAAGAAAAACACAATATTATTCATACATTTAATAAGACATAATGTAAACATATTTTTACAACAAAAAAAAAACTATTTACATTAGAAAATTAATTAAAATGGAATTTTGTAATTATTATTTCTAAATTAACCTCGCTCAAATGTATTTACATATATTTATTACCGTTGATTTCTGACATCAAAAATTCTGTATAATGTCATCTCTTTTATTATCTTTGACAAAGCAGAGATATCAATATGTTTTAAACGGTGATTTGGTCTCAGAAATCAACTATAATTCAGTCACGGGCATTCCTTTTATGAAGTCTCTGAAGTCACTAATTTGAATGTTATAATGAGGTCAAAACATTTGCGCTAAAGAATGAAACATACAAGAGAAAATTTAACAATTAAAAAAACTTTATTGCTACAAAAAATGGTTATAAAAATATAATCCCGATATAAATTTAATTACAACGCCATCTTGTATCAAAATTATGTAACTATTGAAGATTCCAAAGATTATTTCAAATATAAATTGCATGTCAAAGACTAGACTAACCAAACAGATAATAAAATAATATAAAAATAATAAGCTGTTTGGCCACATTCATAATTATTTATTATCTGGCAACACCGTCGAACAATAAATACACAACTCACATACAGATAAAATATACACGTAAAAAATATTAACACTAACTTAAAAAAAAAGTCTTTATTTTCGTATGGCAACACTTAATCATACCATATTACGGCCGTTGTCGCCCGCTATTCTGTCCACAATCTGTAACAAAATAAATTAATTAATCCATACGTGATATACCACGACCATACAGAAGACGTGCAGTCTGATGAGTGTGCGTCCCGGAGGACTAATTTACTCCTCTTTCCATTCCCATCCTTTTCTTTGGACTTTCCGGATGAGAGGATGCATGAAAAGGGAAAATATTTTCTTTCTGTGCATCCTCTCCTCCGTGGATTAAAGGTAGGCAACGCATATGTAATTGCATATATCTATGGGCAACGGTCACTTCGCTATTTCAGCGAACTCAGGTGACCGCTCGCTCGTTTGCCATCTTATGATATAAAAAAAAAAAATATTTTATTCACTTTCACGCAAAAACTACTGAACCGATTTAAATGAAATTTGTTACATAAATAGTCTAAATCCTAAGAAAGGATATAGGCTACTTTATAACGCTAAAAAGGTGTTGCAAGAGATTGAAAGTGGGAGAAATTTGTATATAATATTGTCTTTTTTACATTTACATGATAATAATTTGATTTAATAATTACACATTGTATGTTTGTAAAAATTTCAAACCTCAAGGGTGCAAAATAATAACAGGAAATAGGGGATGAAAGTTTGTATTGGAATTATATTAATTTTTCTTAAATAAGTCATTAAAAATGCTATCAGAAGATAGTAATTCATACAGACAAAGTCGTAGGCACAAATGGTCAAAACATAATTTTCTCAAATAACCAATAAATTATTGTCTTTAATATATATCCTTAACTTTAAGATATACATAAAATATAAATATGTATAAATAACTTACCCCTCTTATAATAGGTAAATTAAGTAGAGAACCCAACACTGGAACCATTCGGAGGAAATTAACTGCCGCAGGTAGGAAACCTCTGAAAAAACACAGAGAAGATAATAAATACAGAAGTAGAGATATTTAAAATGTCACTAATATAGTTTTTCACTATACAAATCTTTTTTTATACTAATACTAGCTGTCGCCCGCGACTCCGTCCGCGCGGGATTAAAAATAGATGTTGGCCGATTTTCAGACCTACTCAATATGCTCACAAAATTTCATGAGAATCGGTCAAGTCGTTTCCGAGGAGTATGGGAACGAAAATTGTGACACGAGAATTTTATATATAAGATATATATTTTTTTATAACATAAGGGAGCAAACGAGCAGCGGGAACACCGAGGTGTTCAACGAAGCTCATGGACATCAGCAATACCAGAGGAACCGCAGATGCGTTGCCGGCCTTTGAGATGGTGATACACTCGCTTTTTAAAGGATCCTAAGTCGTAGCGGTTTGGAAATACCGCCAAGGACAGACCATTCCACAACGCTGCTGTGCAAGGCAGCATTCTGGAATGGTCTTTCTTATACTAATATAACCAGGATACAAAGGAGCAACATTTGAATATTTGTTTGGATTGGATACGACAGCAAGATAACTAGTAAAATTATGCCAAAAATGAAATCTATTATCTTACTAATATATATGTGAATGTTTAGATGGATGTTTGTTTGAAGGTATATCCAAAACGGCTGCATGGAACTCGCAAAAATTTGGCATAGATGTAGAACATAGTCTAGAAGAACTCAGCATCACGATGTTTTCCTTCACCGTAAGAATGTCAGATAAATGTACATATGTAAATCGAAAAACACATTGGTACATGGCGGGATTCGAACCTGTAGATTACAAGTCAAATGCTTAACCCCTAACCCTACTAGTTTTTACCATAAAGTCAAAAGAACTCACCTAAATAATAAAAGGAATCCATATATCTCTGCTATCATGCCAAACATAGGCCAGCCGAGTAATACCACGGTGATACCACCAAAGAATGCAACTGACGCTTTAATTTTGTGCCGTTGGAAGAAGAAGAAAAACGTCCGCTGCAGACCTATCACACATGCTAGACCACTGATGAATAGAATCTGGAAAAAATACAGAATATTAACAGACATGTGTAAGATTTGATTTGCCTGCGACTTGGTCAGCATGTAAATTAACAAAAGTAATCTATAAACAATTCTGTTCCATACTACTGCACTACCGGCGGGGAAGCAGCGCGGAGGTCCCTTTCAGACCTCACCCGCCACCCCGCGCACTCACACCGCGACCTTCAGTTGCACTTCAGCACTCTGCGCACCGACACATCAATCATTTTGTCTATTTTGTACATCATCTTTCATTCTTATTACAATCATCAGCCACCAACCAGCCTTTCAATACATCATACAGTCCACTCGCTCAACAGATTCGGACTTGAATTTGTAGACAGACAGACTGGCAAAGATGATAAAATATAAACTATGGCCTAGTTCCCCCTAACTTAGGGTAGGCTCCAAGCCCATCTTTGGGGACATATGGTTATGAGAATAGTTGATATTAACAATACGACTAGGTTAAAAATCTTATACTTACATTTCCAATAGCAAGTAGACCTTTATCAAATAACAAGAGGACTCCAAGAAATAGGAATGTCATACCAAACCCCGCCAGGCCAACACCAATTTCTGTCAATGATATATTTACATTATAAATGAACATCGTGAAAATACTTGAAGGTGGGATTTGATTAAACTCAATAAATAATAAGTAGCCTATGTGTTTTCAAGACTTTGTTCTACAAGTATAACAAATTTCAATGGGATCTGTCCTGATCCAACCATCCATCGAAACATTCGCATTTATATTAGTATGATTATATTGCTGTTAAATAGCTGCTATTGACACATAAAATATTTTTTATTGCATGTTTAATCAGGATCTTTATTAGCAACCTTTGAATTGAATTTTAAAGAGAAAGAGAGAACAAAGTATGTTCGTAATTAGTAATGAAATGCAGCAGAAGGATATTGATTTCATAATGTAATATACTTCTAGAATAACAATTTATTGTGTTTTATCCATCTTAATGATTAGAATGCAGATTTTTACTGATGGTTATCAATATTTAACATGAAAATACCATTTACTATGTTTGTTACTCACTTTGAGTGTCCGATATCTCAATCATATTGGTGAATTGAAATCAAGATGAAATTCTCTAATACACAGGCCCTTGAGGGCCTTAAATTGATCTAATTATTTAGTAAATAGGATGTAAAACAAATTTATAACCTATTACTCCACGTCATTTTAGCAATCGAAAAAAAGAAACGTCAAAACAATAATAGATGCGTTCAACTAAATCAATCGAGTTGCTTTAAAATATTATCAGCTTTCATTAGGATTTGTGTTTTATTTACAGCACTATTGAAAGTAATTTGAAATGTGTGAAGAAAATAGTCAAAAATGTACTTGAATTTCATTGATTTACCACTGTTTATAACGGAAAAATTTACTTTATATTTTATGACCAAAATAAAAAAAATTATTGTAGATGTACATGGCAACATTTGTAACCTCTTTCTCGAAAAACATAGCCGCGTCTGTTTCTATTTATTACTGTTTAACATCAAGAAAAGAAGAACTCGTTTAATAACAAGAACTGTTTAGTGTTTAAAAATTGTGCAAATAACTGTTAACCTTTAATATTTGCATTGCACTGTGGAAAAATTAGAGACACAATAACTTAAAAATATTATGGTTCGTGGTGTTGGAAGAGGCGGACGAGGTATGCCTGGACGCGGTGGAATGGGCAGGCCTCCGTTTAACAGACCGCGAGTGATGTTATTGAGACCTCCTTTCGACTTAATTTTGGCAGAACCAGCGTTTCCAAGATGCAAACCTGCACCCGACGATACCGCACTTACACAGGTGAAATATTATGCTATAGTTATGATAATTAAAAGTATTAATAGGTTTTCCTTGTTTTAAGACCACTGGTATACAAAAATTTATAATTCAATAATTGATTGTTCCAACTTCAACACCATTTATAAGTAAAGTTCCATACAAAAAAATTATTTCCATACATGCAAAATGTAGAAATTACTATAATATTATACAGGCACTCCTTAAACGTCATGCGGAGCTTTGCCCCACACCATCAGAGCAGGCGTCAGTGCTCTCTCTGGTGACAAAGCTGCAGACTGTGCTTGACAACCTGGTTGTAGCTCCAGGAGACTTTGCTGCATGTGTAAGTATTAATATATAGATAATAAGACTTTGAAGCCTACAGAACCTCTAGAGAGTCACAACCTGCTTGTTGAATTTAAGATTAATGCTATAATAGTTAATTTCAGTAATACAGTTGACCCTGAATAAGCGAGAAACCTCTATAAGTGAGAGTCATAGTCTGATCTCAATGGACCTTCATAAGTGTGAAACTGACACTGGCTACTTATTTGTTTGCTTATGAAAAAAGCACAATTTAACTAACTAGTTTTCTTTAAGAAGATACATAAGAAACGGGACTCTTACCATGATATGAGCTGTGTGATATTTCAGCACACTGGCATGCGCCATGATCACGGGTTGACTGATGTAATCTGATAGAGTGAAAATTAAGATAGCCATATCAGCCTACGTTGTTTGTCACTGAACACTCCTACTGTCCGCATTCTGACTGCACCTTAACTTCACACCTTAGTCACTTTTTGTCATCAACAAACTATTCTTAATCTTTCAGCAATTAGAGGAAGTGCGTCAAGTTGGATCATATAAAAAGGGCACAATGATGGCAGGCAAGAATGTCGCTGATATTGTTGTTATTATGAAGACATTGCCAACTAAAGAAGCTGTTGAGGGACTGTCTAATAAGGTAACTAATAAAACATGGTTATAAAAAGTTGTCTATGGTGCTCTCTAATTTAAAATCTCGCTCAATGTACCGGAAATGCTAAAACTGGTCATGTTTATGCCTCTCCTGTCTATAGAACATAGAGGTAACTTAAGTATTTACTTTCAGGTGAATGAGGAAGTTAACAAGTTGACCCGTGCAATGGGCACAGGGTCGGTGACTTGTGCATGCAATGAGCGTGGCTTCACAGTGACAGCAGCAGGTGCTGCGGTACGCGTGCTCGTCACTACATTGCATCAGAACCTGAGGAAATTGGAGCCAGAGGTAGGTTTAGGATGTTGGCAAGTTTTACTAAGGTTTATTAGTGAAGTGAGGAAGATGAATGATAGTCTTGATCTTTCCGATGTGGATTATCAACACTATGATTAAATTATTTAATAATTAACTGTCCCCTGTGTATCCGTACGGAATTTAAAAAAAAACTTAATTAGTAGATTATGTTCTACATCGATGTCAAATTTCATCGAAATCCATTGACTGTTCTGGCCACAACCATCATCATCAACCGATCATTTGACAAACAGATCTGTACTCCGTCTTCCTCTCTGTTCTTTGCTATTTAATCTTTTATTCTTTCTTTTTACGTTTACCAATACCTTCAACCTTGATGTTTGCGAAATCATCGAAATTAAATGATGGGGTCCACTAGTATTTAAAAGAAGACTGTTCTGGATATTATTTACTATCAAACATCCATCTATCTAAACTTTTGCATTTAAAATATAAGTAAGATGTAAATATTTGATTTGTCAAACAAATTTGACAAGAATGTTTATTTATCGGACATCTTTCTACATCATCACCACCATGTTCTAGGTGCATCTGGAGTATAAGGTGATCAGCAGCCACCTGGCAGCTATCCGTCACAGCAGATGGTTTGAAGAAAATGCACATCATTCCTCCGTCAAGGTAAATATATTTTGTACCAGTGTGGAATATTTATTTCCCTCACAAGACTGGTAGAAGTACACCGAGATAGCCAACCTCAATAAATGAAGGCACCTTGAGAGAGAGATTAGTTCTTACCCAAAACTTTGTCTAAGCCAATTTGACATCTGTGCAGAATTAATAAACTTAGTAGCCTATGTGTTCTTCCAGACTATGTTCTACATCTATGACAAGTTTTATCAAGATACATGCAGTCGTTCCGGAGATACCTTCTAGCAAACATCCATCTAAACATTCGCATTTATATTAGTGAGATATAAAAGCACTTAAAGCTTACTTCTTACTATTTTACTAATATTATAAATGCGAATGTTTAGATGGATGTTTGTTAGAAGGTATCTCCGGAACGACTGCATGTATCTTGATAAAACTTGTCATAGATGTAGAACATAGTCTGGAAGAACACATAGGCTACTAAGTTTATTAATTTCGCGCGGACAGAGTCGCGAGCGACATCTAATATACGTCTCTGGTCTTTATTCCCTAGGTATTGATCCGTTTACTACGCGATATGTGCGCGCGTCACGCGGGTCTAGAGCCACTGACACCCTGGATGATAGACCTGCTGGCGCACCACTGCATCATGAACAATCCAGCGAGACAGGCGTTGCCCATCAATGTAGCCTTCAGGTCAGCTAAGTATACATTTGAGTTGGCACGTCGTTAGCAAGAGTATTGTTTTGAGCTACGAGCCAATGTATATTTAATGTAATTTTGTTCATCTCTCTTGTTAAATGCCGCAGTTAAGTAAAAGAACGTCAAATTACATATTTTCATGTTACTTTTTTTTTATAAACTAATTGACAACAGAATTATTTGGTCATATAGTTCGTTTCATGTTTAAGAGCGTCAGTGGCTCAGAAGGAAAACATCTTGATGCTGCACATATCTGAGAAGCAATTCAAAGATATATGTGAAGTCAACCCGCACTTGGTCAGCATTAACTATGACCTAATCACATAACTTAGGGTAGGCTCCGAGCACCTCAGTGGGGACGTATAGTGAGCTGATGAATGATATTTGGTCTAGTTTAGTGGAATTTAGGTGTATGTAAATTTTTCTTTAGAATAAGAATTTAACAATAATAACTTTATATATACATACCATTATATAAATTATTTACTAATATTTTGGCAACCATTTCAAATAACCGTATTGTTCCCATCCTGTTAACCTATAGTTTAAAGGCGCTATTCTTATTGTTTCCAGACGTGCGCTATCTTTATTAGCGGGAGGTTTGTTCCTGCCTGGATGCGCGGGTCTACCTGACCCATGTGAGGCGGCGCATGCGCGTGCGCACACCGCACTCGACCTCGCTGCACAGGATCATGCCGCTGCTACTGCTCAGACGTTAGTACATTACATGCACCACCTAGATATTAAGAGTGGTTTATCAAATTTTTATTTAAACAGCGATACCGTGTAAGCATTTAAAATTAATTAATTAGTAACCTATGTTGAAGAATTGCAAACCTTAAGTGGCGATGGGCCGGCCAAATTGCCCGTAGAATGGACGGCCGATGGGGCCGGAAAGTCCTTGAGTGGCGGCCGCGGATGGTCGACGCAGAGTAGGTAGGCCTCCCGCACGATGTACCGATGTCCTGGTCAAGGTTGCGGGTGGCACAGGACCGGACATTGTGGCAATCGATGGGGGAGGCCTACGTCCAGCAGTGGACAAATTTAGGCTAATTATGATGATGATGATGAACCTATGTTGTATTTCAGACTATGTTCTACATCTATGACAAATTACAACAAGATACATGCAGCCGTTCTGGAGATATCTTCTAATTTACATCTAAACATTCGCATTTATAATATTAGTAAGATATATAGAGTTGTGGTAGGTCGGAACAATATGGACTTTCAAATGTATTTAAATTTTTTCATCTTTTCTTTCCAGTTTACTCCGTGTGGTAGCCCGAGGCGGTCATCGTTATGTCTTAGGGCTGCAAGCTTTCGAAGGTGGCAAGGATATATCCACAGAAATCACAGTGTGGGATGGCGTGGTGGTGTCACCTCTCGCACCCGCATACCAGGAAACACCGGAACCTATGGATACTGATGATAAAGGTAAAATAATTAACTCAAAAAATTGTGTAGACATATCAAACTCTACTTACAATCCAATCTTGATAAATAAAAAACCACTATAAGCAAGTCATTGTTCAAACTCGACATGGATCTAAGCTAGAAACTCGAGGGAAATCTCTGTAAGAGAGACAGCACGGTGCCAACCTTTATTTAAGCAAGAAACACTGGTTAAGAACCTCTTTAAGTGAGAGTCAGTGTCTGGTCACGATGGCTACAATGAGCTACGACCTTTATAAGCGAGAAACTCGTGTTAGAAATCTGTTTAAGCGAGAGTCATTGTCTAGAGACAGAGAAACATCTTAAAGCGAGAAACATATTGCGATCCCTTTTATTCTCGTTCATCCAAGTTTAACTGTATGCAGTTTTTTTAATACATTTTTATTTTTTTCCAGACGATGATTTGACTCAAGATGGAGTGGCGGCCTGAAAAGAGTATCTGACTTAAGCAAACTATATCTGACTAATAAATGATTTTGACTAATTGTTTGTTTTTTTTTTAATTATCAAATGTGAAGGCATTGGCATGTTTGATTAAAATCTAGTTATTGAATTAGGATTAACTTGAATCCTAAGTGATTGCATGCAACTGTTTTGAAGCTTACTATTGCTTATGACTTCTCGAGGGTATAAAATAATGTAACTAAAGTTATTTTTGTATGCATAATCTACCTACTATGAAAAGTCTTGTCAAACGCGGTCCAGTTATTTTGTAGATGAACTGAAACAAACTCAAATATATTATTATATGTGTATAAAATATATTTTTTTAATATATTATATTCAAACATCCTTTTTTATTAACAATATTGAGGATAGGCCAATTTGTAATTAGAATTGGACACCATTCTTTTTTATTTATAACAAACGAGCAGCGGGAATACCGAGGTGTTCAACGACATCCATGGACATCAGAAATACCAGAGGAACCACAGATGTGTTACTGGCCTCTGAGATGGTGACACGCTTGCTTCCATGTAATTATTATAATAAAGTTTGCGGAAATCGTTGTTGAATTGAAAGCAAATAAACGGAAAATAAAACATTTTTTTTTAATAAAAACTTCACCTAAATAACAATATAAACGCCAAATAGTTTACGATTTACATAAAAAATTCGTTTGAGTTGTTAATTTATTTCCATATTTCTTTTTCTTAGACAATATATCGTTTCCTGGATACAAACTGCATTGTTTTGTAGCGACAGTAAACTTATCGAGTTTATTAGGTTTTAAACGTTGCGTTCCTTGAATGGTTGTTAGGAATTGTGAGGAATGGGACATGATTGACGTAACTCCTAATGAACCGCTATGACTGCATTGCCTTCTATTTTCATGATAACTGGAACAAAATGTGCCGTGAATGTCGATATGTTGAATGAGATTTAGCAAGCCACATTTCTTATATCTGTCTTCAGCGGATTCTTTCGTTTTACTATGTTTTTCTTTACACCGTAACAGTGTATCTCCATGATCAGTGTCAGCCATGATCATGAAGTGTTTTTAATTATATTAGTACATTCAACACGCGTTAATTTTTAAATTTTGATAATTTTCACGGCGAATTTAATGTTTTTATTTACATGTCAATTTCGTAAATGTCACTGTAGTTTGACATGTTCTTTTCTTTTTTTTAAAAAAGATGAAAGTCTTTTTCTGTCAACGTTTGGAATATAAATTACCAAACAGTATTAATTTCCGTAGGTTTTCAGCAACATGCCGTGGGATTTTTCTGGTACAGACTAAGCAGCACTATCTGTTAGCGCGTGAAAAAGATTTACTTACCGTGGGTTTCTGAGTCTGAGAACAACGTTTTGAACGTAGATTTTGGCCTTAGAAACTCGCGGTTAGTGTCAATACAAAAGATCTTAAATAATATAGTTTATGGAATAAAAGACATAATTACAAAGTAAGTTTTTATATCTCGAAAGTAATAACAATAATTTACTTTTCGCTTACATACAAAAAAAATATTAATATATTATAATTAATATTAAAAAGGCTATGGCTTACTCGAATTAATAACGATATTGCCCGAAATACTGTGGTAATCTCGAAATTTTATCAATATATACCCAAATGTTAAACCGGAAAATGTCAAAAGTTTTACAAAATATAAAAGTACATGATAGAAACATAGCTTACTAAAACGAGTGATTAAAAAAAAGAAAAGCAAAGGTTTTTGTACATTCTTAAACGAATCATTATTCACACATTTTAAAAAAAAAAATCAACTTTGACAGAAAAAAGCGCGCGAAAACACGCCTTATGTTTGGAATCTTCTCGACTTCATTTGCCTTTAACAAGTAAAATTAAGTTAATAATCGTTGTTTTTCTCTTTATACATTTTTAACTAAATCAGCGAGACTAGTGATTCGTAAATTAATAAACTGTCGGAAATGTGTTCTTTGGTTTACCGTAAGGGATTCAGAAATGGCGGAGAAAAAGAAAGTTTCGGGGTTACTATAAAAAAAATACGAATCAAAAGTTGTTTCATAAATTAAGTAGGCACATGTACTTAACTTTAAAATACACAAATACTGTACATGAAAAATATTTTATTTTTCCCCTATATCTACATGTCAGTCGCCTTGTTCCTAATTAGCTGACTAAATTTCACATTTCATCTTTTTTTGTTGTAATTAAAAACTGTACAAAATATACATTAAACTGACGTCTATTTCTATCTCGATATTGCAGTTGGAATAATTAAGTCGTTGCTTATACATCGAGTTTGATTTAAAAAAAAATTAATGACGTAACACATCAATGTCAAAAATTTGACGTCAAATCCGGTAATTATCGGTAAAACTCAAATCCCAACCGTGAATACAATAATATCTTCTTAAATTATATTTTAATTTACCTAAAATTGTAAATTTTTAATAATACGCATTAAAAGTAGGGCATTAATTGTTTATGTCGGCATACACTGACATTTGTGTAAAATAATTTCATTCTAAATATTTCTATTTACTTAATTATAAACTCGAGGGGTCCTTTGTCTTATTTTGACGTAAAATACGCGGCGTGTAAAAAAAATAGGCATACCATTTTTAGGTTATGTCTAATCTACGAATACGAACACTTTAGGCCGAACGTAACTTACTATAAATCGCAGTTCAGATCTTTTTCAGATCAAGTAAATGGGAACGGGTTTAAGAAGCACCTTAATTTTCATAATTTACATTCATAAGCTTTTTAAAGTCAATTTTATTACCAATACCACATTATTTTGACACTCCAAAATAAGTTTTATGTCATGACTGGATTACATTATGCCAGTAAAGTAGAGATAAAAATTAGCGTTGGCATACAACTGGCATAATGTAAATACTCCAGTAAACCCATACAGTCCATACCAGGCCAGCGTTACTGTCCTACTGTATTAGCATAATACCAGGCATTGTATTGGCTTGGGATTTAGCGTATATAATCAAAAGGTAAACTCACCCAAGATTGTGTTAAGAATTACTTCAATTAACAATCCTATACATTGTTAATCGAAGATGTATATTTGCAATCTAATATTATAGTTTGGAATTTAAAAGCAGTCAAATAACGCACTGAACACAGTAGCCAATCACATTTATCAATTCCATCTAAATAGACATAATTAGGTTATTATTAAAAGCTAATAGTCATACCAATGGATAAGGCCCGCCAAATGCACAATTTTCGCATTAAATTTACCAAATTAACGCGTAAACCTTTTAAAAGTATCAAGGCTTCTTGAAGATTCGATTAATTATTATTTTTGGCACTAAGATTTTATAAGCTTCATTTTTCTTTAGGTAGTAATTTTCCCGCTAATTATACTGTCTAATTTCGAAACATATTTGACAATTGGTAATTTAAAAGATCACAAAAAATGTTTCTACTTTTTAAAATCAAGCTAGCTAATAACATTTAAACACAAACTAATTTCGTAAGTGAAAAAAAAACCTATTGACAGTTCTTGATGAAATGTCACGTGACATTTTTATCTTTGTTCAACAGACTATATAAAATCTAATATTGGACAAGTGCTTGTAAAGTGACCTAAAAGATAAATTCATTTAAAATGTGATATTTACTCGTGTCGGACGTATTTAAGTGAGAGGTTAAGAGAAAAATATGCGTGTATATCTATTTTCTTTGAGCTACACTTATTTGATATAGAATATATATAAAAAAAGTATGTTTTAACCACACAAAGTTTGTAAAACACCGATGAGCAATAATATCTGTCCAGCATTTTAGGGTTGTCAACCTAGTTTTAGGTCTTCCGCAGTTCCACAGAAATGACTAGGTTTAATCGTAATGGCTAGACGCAAGGCTAGTTCTAGACGAATGCAGTGTCGAGCTGTGCTGTGGTAGGGTGCAGGATGATTGTGACGGCGGGGGAAGGCGGGCGTTTGCCGCCAGTCTCTCTTGCTCCTCCAATTGAGCGGCAAACTCTTCATCCAGAGCCTGAAATTTCATTTATAAAATATAAAAATTATCTATGGTTACTGATCCATCTTAGTTTTAGTAGATGTTGCCATATACGAAAGAAAACTACTAAACAGGAAAGTTTACTAGGATGGCCAAAAATGCGAAATGGAGCTGTGATGTTCAGATCCGTAGATTGGACCTATTTTAGTCTGAAATGCCTGACTATCGTTTTAGTCTGTAAATCATAAAATGTTTCTTTTTTAATATAGTATTATACTTTGACCCTTGCATGAAGAAATAAATTTAAATAGGCAACATATCATGGTCTGACTTTTTGCAATGCTTAGAGCGGGGTGCAATAAATATTTACAACTTAGTATCCTTCAAAGATAGCTTTAAAAATACGTTTTAAATAAAGAATGCACGAATTCATATCGAAATCTATCAAATGAGTATGATTTAAAGATCAAAGATTAAAAAACTACGCAAGTTTATTTTAGATTTCATTTGATTAAGTGTAATTCTCTATGGCTTTTCAACTAATCTGACATGTACATTGTTATTTGAAACGTATAATAAGCACTGATTCAGTAAAAACGTACCATGTTGTTGAGCTGCATTCCATTTCCATCCAGGTTAGGTTGTATCTCAAAGCTGCATGTTAGTACCGTAAGCACGATTAGCAAGTTGCTTATGACCATAGACAATATAAATTACTATTTGACGATTTATAATTGATTAAATATCAAAAGGAAAGTATTCAGTTACAGCTCATTTTTAATATGATATTTTACATTACGAGTTGGTTTATTATATGAATATACCATTTTTAATTTCGAAGTTATTATTATATTTCACTAGGACATTGAAGAATTTATTGAAATAAATAATAAACAAACAAAACCAGTTGAAATAGAAAAAAAAGCTAATATTTCTCTAACAAGATTTTAACTACCAAACTAGTAATTAATTTAAATAAAGTTTAAGTCATCCGTTTCTACCGAAAATTACCAGTAAAAAAACTATAACTGACCACATTTAGACGAATTCGATGAAAATGAGAAATGATATTAAACTAGTTATCGCCGGTGACTACGTCCGCGAGAAATTAAAAAAAATCTTTTTAAGTAGCCTATATGTTCTTCCAGACTAAGTTCTACATGTATGCCAAATTTCAGAGAGAACCGTTAAGCCGTTGTAGAGATACATTCAAACATCCATCGATCTAGACATTCGCATTTATAATATTAGTAAGATATCACTGGCTGACAAAATAATTTATTGCCTATGGTTTATTTTGACAGGTTTCAGTGCTTAATAACACACATGTCTGTTTATTAATAAGTCTGTGATTACAACCTAACAAATGTTTAGAAAGGTTGATTATTTCTCATTTCTATTGAATTCTTCTAATCATATTGTCTTTGTTATTTCAAAGAGAATGTACGGGATGACAATATGTCTAACACCACTGCAGTGTATTTCTCTATTACTTGTAGTGTTAAGAAAAACCGAAAATGAGCCAGTCTATTGACTCAACACTACTTACTAAAATATCAACGTTTATGTCCCCTCACTATTCATTCTGACACTTGACTTTGTAACGTAAGCGTGACATTCACGCCAAAGGATTCAAACTAATAATGTCTAAAAGCAGGCAGTTGAATATTAAAATCTAACTGGTCATAGCAACAGGGTACAATGCAGGCGATAAACGTCATGCAACACATTCAAACATGCTTTACCACTACCAAATATTATTTTTCATAACTGCAGATAACATATTTTTGACGTATAAAGTGTTGCCATAGTCAAATCCTCGATTTAAATTATCTATTGCTCATCTTGGGAACCTTAAGAATTATTTTCTGTCTTTCTCAATTTATATTTTTTTTAATGATACTTTAAAATTACCTTATTTATCTTTAACTTACCTTAATTTTTTTTTTGGTTAACTCACGGAATTAAGAAACACAAGCGTTCTTCCAGATAGTGTGCTAAATTCATGTGGTAATTTTCAGAGAGACCTGTTTCGTAATAAACACATGGCCATCCGAACTTTAGCATTTATAATATTAGTAAAATTATTTATCTTCATGAAGCTATATACAGATTTGCATAACTATTATTACTTGATATTCACCAAGCTTCGTCCACCACCAAAATGCTATTAAAAGCCATTTAAACCTTAAAACTTTATTTACATACGTTATATATTTTGAAATCAATGTTAACAATATTAAATAAAATTACAAAACGTAGAATAAAGGAAGGACTAATCACAAAGTTTTTTAAATACTTTTCAAATATGTCAAAAAAACTGCGTTATTAAATTACGAACACAATGATTCAATTTCAAATTAAAATACTTATATAAATTATCCAATTGTATACCAAATAATATATTTATTATTATTTAAAAAAAAAAACTTTTTAATAAAAAAAATCCTTCCTTTATTCGACAATGATTTTATAATTTGAGAAAAAAAAAACGATGATAACATGCGTAGATACGAGCATGCAAATCCTACCAAAATACAGATTAAATATCGTAATCATTGGTAATAAATATATTTAACATGGTTACATTATTAAAAATAAAAACAAGCGATAAAACATGCAGTAGAATTTAACTTATTAACGTATATATATTTAAAAAATCAATATTTGGTGGTTTTTAGTTGCTATAAAGTGGAAATTTTTTGATGAATTGGTAACTTAAGGTAAGTTTCAGGACTGTGGTGCAAAATTTAACTTTAACAAGAGATTTGATTCTTAACATTTTCAATAAAATATCCAAATATTAAACCATTTTTTTTTCATATAAATATTTCCTTACCTAGGAACATACGGACATCTAAATTTATTTCGTTTAATAATATCGTATTTTTTTTTTTCTACAAATATCTTATAGGCTCGGAACATATGACCTTGAGCCGTTAAGATATTTGAAACTAACTATATTTAAATTTAAAACAAAAACTTTCATGTGATGTCTACAAAGCGACTTATTTAAAAGGTGACAAACTAAAATTATAATAACATTAAAAAACTTAACTTGAATATTTAACAAAATGGCAAAAAAAAAACTCGGTCTTATATATCGACCTGATAAATTTGTGACTCAAACAAAGAAAAAAAATTAAAAATTTGTTCAAATGTTGGACGAAAATTTGGCCTACAATTCAAACTTTGTTCAAAAGATACATTGGAATGTATTATTTGTGGATTTGTCGATCTTCGTCCAACATTTGATCAAATATTGGACAAATAAATCTAATTTCCTATCAGTAAAGACCAAAATGATAAGTTTTCAGTCAAGAAAGAGACAAACAAATACACAGCTAAGTGCGACAGAGAAGGAAGATAATCTTTAATTTTTTATCTTATAAAAAATAATCGAAGTTTTATTTTAAACATGTTATTTAGCTATTTTTATTTAATTATACGAAAATTTGGTCTAAATATTAATTTTATAAATCTTACAAAATATTTAAAAATTTTGGCAAATACAAAATGGAAGGAATATTTGATTAAAGGAAGCCATCTTTGGTAAAGCAATGATATTTAAGAAGAAGACTGATTTATGTTTGCGTTATCATCAAATTTATAAAAAGGTAATAAAAAATTGCTAATAAATTAAATGTGACAGCTGTCAAAATAGCTTTGACAGTTGTCAAAATCATTTTGACAGCTGGCAAACACGGAAATATTTGATAAGCGTTGGCTGAAAGTACAAGCATGCTTATTGAATTTATGAAAAAAAAAAAGTGTATAATTAAGCCATAGAGTCAGGAGGTCCATTCTTGTCTGTACCCAGAGCCGCCTTAAAGTTCATAGTCGAAAGTTGACTGACAGGGATGTCGCCTTGGTTCGAATAACTATTAGATCCCCGAACAGGTCCCCATCTACTAAAATGTGTCGCATCACTATCTTTATCGATATCGACACTATCTATAGTGCTGTTACTTTTAAAACTATCGTATTTCGATATCGGCATATCGATAACAACCGCCTCCATAGCTATATCTTGTTTCAAATTTTGCTGTGAAACACTTCGCTTTAGTAAATCTTCGTTCTTCTCTAACAAAGCTTGTTCACTCATACTTTGTCTATTTAACTTCGGTTTCACTCTTGCTGGACTCATATTTCTAACAGAAATCGGCATTTTATGTACAGGTTTCGATCTTTCTAGACTTTTTCTCGGTTCTTCTTCAATTTTCTTACTCTCCATCATATCGTAAGCCATAATTGGCTCACGTCGTACATCATCCGAACCACGGAACACTGAAAAGCCTGATATCTTCTCTGATACTAATTTCAAATTAGACGTAGAACTATATCTTTGAGCTTTAATTAATTTCCCACGTTTTGATGTATTAGAAACACTGGATGCTGCTGATTTTGATGTCCTGTAGTCATTATTTGGACTGACTGAACGTCTTCTGTCCATGTTAGGTGTATTTGAGTTGGATAGTGCTAGGTTCAGACTTGTCCTAGACCTGGATAAGGAACCTATGAATGATGTTCTTTGTTGATACGCGCTGAGAACATGTTGTAAAACATTCCTCGGCCAGGGAGCTTCAAGATACAAAGATCTATCAGGTATGGTCTTCCCGTATTTCTTCTCGTGATCGTCGAGTTGTTTCTCGAAGCTTCTAATGAGGTTCTGTTTGACAAATTGTGGTAGGTTTAGCGTTCGTTATGTCTTAAGGACGATACAAACACTTATTCCCTTCCACATCTAGTATCTAGGACTTTTGAAATGCACTGAAATTGATACCTAAAGGAGATCATTGCTTTTTGTATTGCCCAGTGATATTACTTTTATCTAGATTTTAAGGTTTCTAAGGCGCGAACATATTTAAAATAGCTGTTACCCACGACTTTATAAGCGCGGAATTAAAAAAAATAGTCTATGTGTTCTTCCAGACTGTGCTTTACATCTATGACAAATTTAAACGACATCCCTTGAGCCGTTCCAGAGATACCTCCTAACAAACATCCATCCATCTAAACATTCGCATTTATAATATTAATATTGAACAAATGTCAAATAACCTAAAAATCGCGCGTCTGACAGATGGAATGACATTGTTAACGTCAAATCTGACCAGAATCGTCAATTATGACGTTAACCGCCATATCTATTCAACTAGAATACAAATGGACATCGTCTTTTATTTAAAAGTAAAAAATACAGCGATAATATTGAATTCAGATACAAAAAATGTAGGTGTAAAATAAAATGATCTCCTTTTTACTAACGCAAACCGAAAACCGACAAATGAGAAATTTAACACGTTAACTGCCACTAACTCGACTAACGAGTCATTACTAAGTGTCATGAAATGTGTTTTTTTATATACAAATGTCAAATATATATATATAAATATTAATTTCAAAACATTTCAAAAGCCTGATAATACCACCACCGATTAGTTTTAAAAGCATATCGTACAGCCAATCATGCGACAGTGTCCATTTTTAAAACAAATGTATTGTTCTCTCTTTCCTCTCCCAAAGAATAAAAGAGACAAAACATTGTTTCAATTCAATCAAGTCTTAAAACATATTTCTATATTATTAAAATTCAAAAGTTTGTGACTTCTAATCTTTTAAACTTTAGATTTTAATTGAAAAATTCTTTTTGCATTTAATAGCTAAATAATAAAGGAAGGTTATAGTATATTAAACATAACGCTACGACTTTTAGGAGCTGAGCAGGATGGAAAATTAAAAATAACTATCAATTCGTCATCAGCTCACTATACGTCCCCACTGAGGAGCTCGGAGCCTACCCTAAGTTACGTGACTAGGTCATAGTCAACCACGCTGGCCAAGTGCGGGTTGACTTCACACATATCTTTGACATTTCTACTCAGATATGTGCAGCATCACGATGTTTTCCTTCACCCTAAGAACATAGGATAAATGTACATATGTAAATCGGAAATGGAAAAACACATTGGTACATGGCGGGATTCGAACCCAGGACCTGCAGATTGCAAGTCAAGTGCTTGACTACTGAGCCAGTGACGCTCTATTTGCATATTTTGCATTTCATAGCTGATTTAATAATAATCAAGGAAGGTTATAATATATTAAACATCACGCTACGACATTAAGGAGTCGAGCAGGATGGAAAATTTAAAAATTACCAGCAATTACAACCTAACAAATAATTAATTTATATTATAACTAAATTTGCAATGAGATATAAATATATTTTAAGACTGGATCTATTAACATGCAATATGCATGCAACTTTATGCATACATCACGCATACATGCACAGAACAAGGCAATATTCATAACAATGCGCTCTTATAATCATGCATTCATGACACATTTCAAATAAAAAAAAAACGATTGTATTACAGTATGTCATTGTGTGCTTTGACGTGACGTGACGTTTTGTATGACGTGTCGTACTATATAGACGGACAAGGATATCTGAACTGGTGGACAAAGTCAAACTAAATATTGACTAACTTTTTTTTTTATATCATAAGATGTCAAACGAGCGAGCGGTCACCTGAAATCGCTGAAATAGCGAAGTGACCGTTGCCCATAGACATACACAATTGCATATGCGTCCTTTTTATAACATAACAAAGAGGATATTGCTAAATTTTGACGTTGACATGAGGGAGCTAGTGAGCTCAAATAATTTAGTTTGACTTATGCCCACAGATTCACATAGCTTCATCGGTCTATATATCGTAGATTGTATTGTATAGTATATAATGACGTGTCGTTTCATGTAACATGTCGTTTTGTGTCGTGACGTGTCTTATGGTGTCGTGTCGTCTGGTGAGTGTCGTGTCGTCTCGTGTCGAGTCGGTGTAGTGTCGTGTCGTCTGGTGAGTGTCGTGTCGTCTCGTGTCGTGTCGTCTGTTGTAGTGTCGTGTGGTCTCATGTCGTGTCGTCTGGTGTAGTGTCGTGTCGTCTCGTGTCGTGTCGTTCGGTGTAGTGTCGTGTCGCCTCGTGTCGTGTCGTGTAGAATGGTGTAGTGTCGTTTCGTGTCGTGTGCAGTCGTGTCGTATGGTGTCGTGTCGTCTCGTCGCGTGTCGTATGTTGCAATGTCGTGTCGTGTGATGTGTCGTGTGTTGTACTGACCGTCTTCCTATCACCGAGGGTGGCGCGCCACTCCTTGAGCTCGAGGGCGTATCTCTCCTCGACGGACTTCATCTTGCTGCTCTCGTGGTTCATCAGCGCCTTGCGCTTCTCATTCTGGTACTGCTCCAGCTCACGGAGGAGGGCCTTGAATTTCAGCAAATATATATTACTACCAGTCACCAGCAGTTCCATCGAGACTATGTTCCACATCATATCATCAAGATCCTTGCATCTGGAGATACCTTCTAATAAACATACATCTTACTAATATTATAAATGCGAATGTTTAGATGAATTGTTTAAAGGTATCTCTGGAACGGCTGTATCTCATTGTAATATGTCATGTAGAACATAGCCTGGAACACAAAGGCTACATATAAATTTATTCAAACTTTCGTCAGACATTATAATAAAATTATATGAAAACGGCTAAAACACTCACTCAATTAGCTGAGGGCGTTGTCCGCGAAATAATATCAGTAACACTCACCATGATGAAGGATCTCCGATCAGCTCGAAACTAGTCGATGGCAACACCAGACCATACGTGAATGTTTTAGTCATTTTTATATAAGTTTATTGGCTACGCGTACGGAGTCGATGGCTAACTAGACTATTGATTAACATTTATTTAAGATATCTCACCTCTCCAGCAGCTTTTAATTCCTCCTTGGCTTTAGCATGTTTGGTTGCGAGCCTTTGCTGTTCCGCTCTATATCTACGTTTCTCGTTCTCCTGGAACTGCATACGACAAATGTTTTAATGTACGCATCTATACAACAAGAAAATCCGACACTGCCGGTGTACTGGTGCAACACTAGCCTTACTAAAATGTCGACGTTGATGTCCCCTCACTACATTTGACACTTGACTTTGTAACAAAAACGCTACATTCGCGGCAAATGATTTTAACTAATATTGCCTTAAACTAGATATATTAAAGGTACAGCTCGGGACAATGGACGCGTAACTTTAATATCTAGTCTAGTTTAATCTTTAAGACATTATTAGTTAGAATCCTTTAGCGTGAATGACGCGTTTTCTTTACAAAGTAAAGTGTCAGATGTAGTGAGGGTGACATCAACATCGACATTTTAATAAGGCTAGTGTTGCGATACACCGGCACTGTCGGATTTTCTTACTAACACTAATCTGAAAGTCTTCTTTAAACTTTTATTACTTTTAAATTTGTTATAAATAAAATACAATATGTTAACACGTTTAACGCCACTCCGATCACCGGTGACCGGATCGCTGCCTGCATTTAAGCGCAGCTTAGGGACAACTGTAACCTCATCAAGTTATATCTGCGGAACCCAGCTTACGATTGAAATATAAACTAGATATATGTAGGTCTGTGGTTTTTGAACGAATGTTAGACAATTAAGATTGAGATGCGTGAATGAGTGATCGGACAGAATGGAACGGAAGTACGACAGTGAACGTAATGAACATTGAAGGATGGCAAGACGAAACGAGTGCAAATAAAAATATATTGTAAAGCTGTAAATAAAATAATAAGAAGACGGAAAATCTTTCATTCTGCCCACCACCTCACCACATATATTTTAAGAATAAATGTCGTTACGCATCTATTTCCAGCAAAAAGTTTTTTTAGTGTTTTTTTTCTATTTCTACTATAGCATTTAACATGCTAAAATATACTTTTCATGGAAAGGTCTATCAGGGTAAAAGAACTAGGAGTATCTTGAGACAGATTGCAAGATAAATGTCATATGGTTTGGTGTTTTAACATGTTCGCAGGAATAGTCCCGACTCGTCCGGTGATATACCACGATCATACAGAAGACGTGCAGTCTGATGAGTGTGCGTCCCGGAAAACTTATTCACTCCTCTTTCCCTTCCCACACTTTTTCTTATGAGGAAAGGATGGGAAGTGGAAGTGGACTTTCCGAATGAGAGGATGCATGGAAAGGGAAGGTATTTTCTTTCTGTGCATCCTCGCGTATGCAATTGTATATGTCTATGGGCAACGGTCACTTCGCTATATCAGCGATTTTAGGTGACCGCTCGCTCGTTTGCCACTTTATGATATAAAAAAAATATGGTGACAAAGTGTCAAAGATTTACCTTCTTGAGTCTGTCACGGTCATCATCATGAGCTGTGCCGGCGATACGCAGCGACTCTCTGAACATCATCTCTCGTGCTTTCTGCTCCGCGCGGATACGTTTTGGTAACGAACGTTTCTCTAATGCCTGACATTTGCTTAATTCCTCCTCTTTACGTGTGTTCTTTCTAAAATATATAAATGAATAATAAGTTATATGTCATTACTCATCGACAAGAGCTTATAATGTTATTATATAAAAGAAAGTGGTGCTAGTTACACTATTTATAACTCAAGAACGACTTTACCGATATGCCTGAAAATTGTTGAGGAGGTAGCTTAGAGCATGGAGACGGACATAGGATTTATTCGTTTTTTTATTTTATTTATGCGTTGAAGAGCTGCTTTTTATTTAACTAACTAATATTATAAATGCAAATGTTTAGATGGATGTGATCTGGATGGATGGATGGGTGTTTGAAGATATATCTAGAACGGCTGAACTGATCTCGATTAAATTTGGCATACATATAGAACATAGTCTGAACGAACACATAGGCTACACTAATTAAGTTTTTTATATATCCACGCGTACGGAGTCGCGGGCGATAGCTAATTTATTATATTTATAGTGTTTAACTAGCTGTCGCCTGCGACTCCGTCCGCTCGGTATAAAAAAAACTTAATTATCAACCTATGTAATATTTCAAACCATGTTCTACAAATCCTTTGAGCTGTTCCAAATATCTTCAAACATACATCCATCCATCGAAACATTTGCATTTATAATATTAGTAAGACAGTATGATTGCCTATCGTCAATTCTTACTAATCTGGCTAATATTATAAATGCGAATGTTAAGATGTTAGTTAGAAGGTATCAAAACGGCTAAATATATATAAAATTTGTCATAGATGTAGAACATAGTCTGGAAGAAAACATAGACTACTAAGTTTATTTTTAATACCACGTAGACAAAGTCGCGGGACATCAAGACATACTTAAAATCTTAAAAATAACCTTTTAATCTGCTCCAGTTCTTTATCATGTCTGACCAGCATCTGATGTCGTCTCAACAAGAACTCATCTTTAAGCTGACGCTTTGCCAACTGATGTCTCTCATGTATCTGTTTCTCTTCCAACTCCCACAGCGCAGCTTCTCTGGTACGCATTATCTGTAAGAAATTAAAATAAATATAAAAATAACAAAGGAATCCCGCCATGTACCAATGTATTTTACATATGTAAATCTTATATTGTTAGTGTGAAGGAAAACATGTTGATGCTGCACATATCTGTGAATGTCAAAGATATGTGTGAAGTGACGCACTGGACCAGCATTCACTATCACCTAGTCACATCACTTAGGGTAGGTTAGACCCTCAGTGGGGACTTAATGAGCTGATGATATGACTTTCTATTACTGTAATACTTGTATAACAACACTAGCTTTAGCCCGCGACTCAATCCGCGTGGAATTAAAAAAAATATTGAGTAGTCTATGTGTTCTTCCAGACTATGTTCTACATCTATGAAAAATTTCAACAAAATCCATACAACAGTTCTGGAAATACCTTCTAATTTACATCCATCCAAACATTCGCATCTTACTATTATAAATGCGAATGTTTAGATGTACATCTTATATATAAAATTGTCGTGTCACAATTTTCGTTCCCATACTCCTCCGAAACAGCTTGACTGATTCTCATGAAATTTTCTGAGCATATTGAGTAGGTCCGAGAATCGGCCAACATCTATTTTTAATCCCGCGCGGACGGAGTCGCGGGCGACAGCTAGTTTACTATAAATATCTCCGGAATAGCTCAAAAGATCTTAATGAAATTTGACATACATATAGAACATAGTCTGGAAGAACACATAGGCTAGTAATTAAGATTTTTCAGTACCTGTTGCCTCTGCTGCAGGTATTGCCTGTCAGCAAGTGCCTGCCTCTCCCTATGATGTTCGTGTACACGTCGCAGTACTCCGTCTGCGGAGTCAGCGAGCGCCGCGACGAATGCGCGTTCTCTCTCCGCATGCTCCGCGTCCAGCCGGGCACGTCTCTGTCTGTACGCCTCCTTTCTCCTCTCCTGTGGTACAACAGACTTTATACAGATATATTATTAATGTAATAAATGCTTTGAGATACAATTTATATTAAAATATTATTTAAAAAGCACTTGACTTGCAATCTGCAGGTCCTGTGTTCGAATCCCGTCATGTACCAATGTGTTTTTCCATTTCATTTATCCTATGTTCTTACGGTGAAGGAAAACATCGTGATGCTGCACATATCTGAGAAGAAATTCAAAGATATGTGTGAAGTCAACCCGCACTTGGCGCAGCGTGGTTGACTATGACCTAATCACCCTTAACTTAGGGTAAGTCCTGAGATCAGATCTCGATGAAATTTGGCATACATAGTAATTTTGTTTAATTCTGCGCGTACAGTCGCGGGCGACATCTAGTTATACTATAATGACGTCAAACATTATTCCTTACTTTAGCAACTAACTCCACTTCCTGCTTCAAAAGCCTGAGCTCCTGTTTCAACGTATCTCTGAAGTGGCGCAGATCTCTCTCGTGCTCAGCGCGCAGTCGTTTCGCCTGCTGGCGCAGTTCAGCTTCTAACTGTTGCTCAGCACGTTCAGCTGCAGCACGCTGACTGCGCGCTAACGCTTCTAGCTCAGCTTCGTGTGCACGCGCTAGACTGCCTAGCTCTGCTTCGAATCTGGAACATATCATTATCGTTTAGTTTTTATTTTGTAGATATTTCTCAAGATGGACCGATGATGTAATCAAGTGGATCATGATAGATCTATGCCCAGTTTTATGCATCATATGGTTGAAGAGAGAAATAAAGAGAGTAAGAGATCTTCTTTCCCCAAGTATCATACAATCATTCGGGTTTTCTTTTTAATTAACAAATGCAGTCGAACCTTGATAAGCAAGAGTCACTGCCCTGTTCCAAAATACTACCTTCATAAGCAAAAAAACATCGCGATCCTTTAGACTCTCGCTTTTCTTTATTCGACTATACTTAATAATACTTGCAAGAGTTTATAGTAAAATTAGCATTTATAATATTAGTAAGATAATTGATTTGAAGCGCCAATAGCATGATGATTAAGGGTACGCATTTCCGATCACGAAGTCGAGAGTTCGAATCCCGACATTCGATTATCGTAAACCAAATCCTATCACAAGCATAGAGCTTGCTAATATTTTTATAAACATGCTGCATATTACCTCTTGTCCTGTTGCTCTCTGAGCTGGTGCTCTTTAGCGTTGAGGTCCTGGAATTGCTTCTGCTCCTGTTTCTGCAGCATCTTAATCTCTCTCAGCTCTTGTTTGCGCAGCGCGTGGTCGTCCCATGTACGCCCGCTCTCCTCGTCGCCCCATATCACCTAAATACATACATAAGTACATAAAATGACAATAATTACAGATTAATATCTCAGCTTTATCATTTTTTATATAATAAGGTGGCAAACGACCGGCCAAGTGAATTCGCTGAAATAGCGAAGTGATTGCCCATAGACATACGCAATTGCATATGCGTTGCCTATCTTTAATCCACGGAGGAGAGGATGCACAGAAAATATTTTCCTTTCCCATGCATCTCATCCAGAAAGTCCACTTACACTTCCCATTCTTTCCTCATAAGAAAAATGGTGGGAAGGGAAAGAGAACTAAAACTGGTGGCTTGTAATAGTAAATTAAGTAACATTCATAAATAATCCATTTAACTTAAGATATATTTGTGAAAATATATATTTTTATAACCAAAACATATGTCATCGAAGAATTAAAATATAGGTAGACTACAATATACCGAGCTAAGGTTCACTCGTTCAGAAGATTAACCGAAACACGGTCTTGCAGACAAACAATATCTTTTTATTTTTTTGTTATCAGCTAAGTATGTTATTTTATATACGATTATTGATTACATACAGACATTCCAATTTTATTAATATATAAAGACTAGCTGTCCCCCGCGACAGTCAGCGTGAAATTAAAAAAACGAAATTACTATGTGTTCTTCCAGACAATGTTCTACATCTATGTCTTGGAAATCCATACGTCATTGTGGATCTAACGAACATCCATCCATACATCCATAGATTCGCATTTATATTAGTAACATTTCGATGTTTACTTTGTCATACCTTCGATGTAGTTGTAGTGACAATGACTCCATCTATTTCAAACTTTCTCGTTCTCTTCCGAGTTTTTTTCTTCAAGTTTGCTATATGTATGTCTTCTTTAGATCTGAAATTTAAATTTCAATACAAATTATTTTACTTATGAATAATAACATCGAAGGAATAGATACCTCATAAAAATTATTCATTCTAGAAATTAACAAGCTAGCTAACGCCCGCGACTTCATGCGCGTGATATTAAAAAAACCTTGATTAGTAGCCTATGCATTCTTCAAGACACATATACGACAAACTTCAGCGAGATACAGCCAATCCAAAAATTTTTTTATAAGAGAAGGGGGCAAACGAGCTGCGGGAACACCAAGGTGATCAACGACACCCATGGACATCTGCAACACCAGAGGAACTGTAGATGCTTTGCCGATCTTTAAGGAAATGGTTTGCTCGCTTCTTGAAGGTTCTTCTTACATTCATTATATTAGTAAGAACATTAAAAATCGTATAACAAACGTTATTTTTATAACGTTAACAATAATCCTACGGTTATTAGTGTTTTATAAGTAAAATTAGAAAATTTGAGTACACTTTTCTTAAGCACACAGTAAGTTGTCTATCACCTTTGAATACGATTAGATGGATCCTGTCTGTTCCGCCTCAACACCACCTGCTCTCCATTATCCAGGTCTTGGCTGTCTGTGTTCACTCTGGAATTTATTCATTTATATTATATTAGTAAGGTGTTTGATTAATATTTATACTACATTTTAAACAGTGGTAGAGGGTAGACGAGCGAGCAGTTACCTGAAATCGCTGAAATAGCGAAGTGATCGTTGCCCATAGACATACACAATTGCATATGCGTTGCCTACCTTTAATCCACGGAGGAGAGGATGCACAGAAATTAAATATTTTCCCTTCTCATGCATCCTCTCATCCGGAAAGTACACTTCCACTTTTCCCATACTTTCGTTATAAGAAAAAGTGTGGGAAGGGAAAGAGGAGTAAATTAGTCCTCCGGGACGCACTCATCAGACTGCACGTCTTCTGTATGCTCGTGGTATATCATCGGGCGAGCCGGGACAAGTCCTGCGAAGATGTTAAAGCTCGCTCTACCCCTGGTAAAATGTACTGGAGGACACTTTTAACTTTTCTTTCTATTCCAACCTTGGAAGTGGATTTAATTAAGGAACGGGACGTATGAGCAGGGGAAATAATCCCTTTCTGTGCGTCGACTCCTTCCCTTTTCTTGTAAGGAAAGGATGGAAAGGGGAAATGGATTTTCTAGATGAGATGCATGTGTAGGAAAATATTCCCTTTATATGCGTTGACTTCTTCCCTTTTCTTATAAAACAATGGGAAGGGGTAGTGGAAGTGGATTTGATGGAGGAGGGAACGCATAAGCAGGTAAAATATTCTCTGTTTATGAGCCGACACCTTCACTTTTTTTATAAAAAATAATGGGAAGGGGAAGTCGATTCGCAATTCAATTGCGTATGTCTATGGGTAACGTTAATTCCGCATTTCTGCGAATTCAAGTAATTACTTGATTATTTGCGATAATTTTTTTGTATTTTTGATGTATCCTTACCTTGTGCCACCATTTAATTGTGTGTCATGTGGCATTGCATGCGGTGCGGAGTCATGCGAGGCGGTGGTAGCCAACGAGTCCGCGTCTGCACCGCGACGTGAGGACGCGGATGCGACAGACCCGCTGTCTGATTGTGATCGTCTGCTAATAGAACATTTATTGTGTTATTTAAGTTGCCCCTTAGTATGGATTTTAAGATATACAGGAGTGCTATATACAAAATTTACTTATAAAGTAAACTAGCTGTCGCCCGCGACTCTGTCCACGCGGAATAGAAAGAAAACTTTATTATTAGCCAATGTATTCTTCCTGACTATGTTCTATATGTATGACAAATTTCATCGAGATCCCGTCAGTCATTCTGGACATACTAACAAACATACATCCATCCATCCATCTAAGCATTCGCATTTTTATTTCATATACTATATCTTACTGTTATAAATAATATTTAGACGAATGGATGGATGTTTGAAGGTATCTCCAGAATGGCTAAATTCAATGAAATTTGTCATACATATAGAACATAGTCTGGAAGAACACATAGACTACTAATTATGTTTTTTTTAATCTCTTACTAATTGCAATAAGATATCCAAATAAGTTTAATCCTACAGTACTATCCATGTTGTTATCTTGTGATGTTAATTGACACATTACCTATCAAAGCTGTCAGGAGAGAGGCGCGTGGGCGCGAGCGCGATGTGCGTAGCTGCGGAGTCTCGCACGCGCACCTCCTCCGCGCCCACAGTCACCACGGACACGTGAGATGTATCCTGGAACATCACCACATCACTGCATTACACCTTTTACTCAAAAGTCAGACCTTTAAATCATATCATATCACAAGCCTTAAATTTATTTAAAATTGTAAAATAAATATAAGTAAATTAAAAAATTAATAAAAAAAATCAGAAACCTGGCGATTTTACTCCTTGAGTAACTCAAAATATATTATCATCATCAGCTCATTAAGTCCCCACTGAAGGTCTAACCTACTCTAAGTGATACGTCTAGGTAGGTGATAGCGAATGCTGGTCCAGTGCATCACTTCACACATATCTTTGATATTCACAGATATGTGCAACATCAACATGTTTTCCTTCACACTAACAATATAAGATAAATGTACATATGTAACACATTGGTGCATGGCGGGATTCGAACCCAGGAGCTGCAGATTGCAAGTCAAGGCCTCCATTGAACCACTGACGCTTTATTTATAATAACTCGCAAATAAGCTATGACACCTAAAACCACGAAAATAACTTTTCATACCTAACAATTTAGTAAGAAAAAAGACTTAAAGGCCAGAGAGAGGACAGCCATTTCCCTGTTCTTTACATTCCCTTCCAAAATGTTCTCTTTCTCATCTTTTTCTTATTAGTAAAGTAATTCTAGATTACATAAATGTTAGTTACCAGATTGAGTCCATTGGCTACACTATCATCGAAGACTCCAGAATCAGCAGCAGCTCCGGGACTCAGGATCAACACTTCGCTACTATCCAGACGACGACCTCGACTCTTTTCTGTTAAATACATAAATGCTTATTTTAAAATTAAATTTACATATGTTGGAGCATTGGCTCTTGAACTATAATACAGGAGCTAATCTCATCCTTTTATCGTTTATTCGATTTTACATTTAATGCATAAAAAAAAATTACATAATTTTATATATTCCTGATAAATAACATATTGTTATACGAAAATAAAGACACAAAACGTCGAATCGATAAGCAAGTAATTTGAATTACTGACTATAGGTTTCTGAGACCAAATTCTCCGTTTCAAACTTTCGTGAGGCATTATAATAAACTGATATGAAAACGGCTAAAACACTCAATTAGCTGAGGACGTTGTCCGCGAAATAATACCAGTCCCACTCACCCTGATGAAGGGCTCCCGATCATCTCGAAACTAGTCGATGCCGACACCGGAAGAATATACATGAGTGTTTAGCCGTTTTTATATCAGTTTATGTTGTTATGTCTGTTTTGTCAAAGATAATGACAGGGATGACAATATTTCTCATACAGAAATTTTGGCCTCGGGAACCCAGGGTTTATATAAAATAAAATCCTTCTGATGGAGGCTTCATTTTTGTCAGTTTTTCAAACAAATTTTCAAATCTTCAATCTAAATTTAACAAACTGTAATGCTATACTTTCTTATATTAGAATATATATCGTCATCATCATCATCATCATCATCAGCCTATATTCGTCCACTGCTGGACATAGACCTCTCCCGTGGCACGCCACTGAGAAAGTTCCTCGGCCACTCTCATCCAGCTCTATATTATATATTGCTGTTACCAATAATGAGTTCAAATTCCAACTCACCACTACAAGAATTGGCACAATCAAGTGAGTCCAGTGATGATGGTGCGAAGCAATCATCGTCTGATGATGAGCCGGCTCCAACAATCACTACTTCATCAGCTATCGGTGGTGTTGTTGATATTGTTACTGCGTTGGGCGGCAACTGGAGGGAGATAAATTAAAAGTTTAAATCTTAAACACTTAAAAAGATAATAGGGTCCTTATTTTGCTTGTGTATAAGGGACTCATGTGGTTTCTGAAGCCAAAATTTCTGAATAAATCATATCATGCTTGCCATTATGTTTGACAAAACAGAGATAAAAATGTTTTATACGGTAATTTTGGTCTCGGAAACCTACGGTAAGTCTATACCCGTTGTGTGAGTGCATAATATGTGCGAGGCGGATCAACGGGTGCTGCGTCTGCCGTCACTATGACAACCGTCACCGGACGTCAATAAACCAGTCTGCACTAATCTAGCGGTCGTATCATTACTCCCAATATCTAACATATATTATGGCGTGTAAAATTGTGTGTATGCCATGCCACACTATTTTTTTTACATTATAAGGTGGCAAAGAGCAAGCGGCCACCTGAAATCGCTGAAATAACAAAGAGACTTTGCCCATAGACATACGCAATTGCATATGCGTTGCCTAACTTTAATTTTACCTTCCCATGCATTCCATCCTCCGACAGAACTTGCCTATCATCCTTTCCCTGTAAGAAACGGATGGTAAGAGAAAAGTGACTAGAGTTGACTTTATTGAATCTTACCGTCAAAGTATTCAATACTGGTGGATGTGTGGTGGTGACGGTGACCAGTCCTGCTGGTGACGCGGCTAAAGAGTTTGGCTCAGCACTGACAGCCACCACTGTCACCGCCGCTACTGCTGGCCTGATGTCACGTGACCGGGATGATGGCGGCTGTAGATAAAAATATGATTCCTCTTACTAATATTATAAATGCGAATTTTTGGATGGATGGATCTTTGTATGAAGGTATAAGAAAATTTGGGCATTAATGTAGAATATATTCTGGAAGAACACATAGGCTACTTATTAAGTTTTTAGGGTTTCGTACCTCGAAAGGAAAAAAATGAAACCCTTATAGGATCAATTAAGGTCCGTCCGTTTGTCTGTCACTACCCTTTTACTCAAGAACGCGTGAAGACATAAACCAGAATTTATTTTTTTCAATTCTGCGCGAACGGAATCGAAGGCTACTGCTCATCATCATCAACCTGCCCTTATCCCTATCGAGGGTCAGCATAATAGTGATCGCGGGCTACTGCTAGTAATATAAAGAGGAAAGATTTGATTATTTCAAATAAATAGGCTTCGAAACTACTGAACCCATAGAAACAATAAAATCCAAACTAAATTATTATTTTATGAAAATTATTTTCACAAATATCCAGAAATTTACAGATTTGTCTATGGTTAAATATTTGAAACAGGTCAAAATATATACTTACAGTAACAGGCCTTATTTCAACGGCATTGTGCACTCTATCTTCTTCCACAGAACTAGATCTTGAATATTCCTTCTTCTCCAAACGTCCAACTCTCGTCACTTCTATACTAACTCTGTCTTTATCATCCACAGACCTTGATCTATTCTCTCTTTCTATTCTATTAACTTCTGCGGTAACTCTACTCGTCTCTACTACTCTATCTAAATTCGTGGAAGTTGATTTAGAACGTTCTTTATCTCTCTCTGTCACTCTTATTTCTGTATTAATCTTCTCTTCTGTTGATTTATTCAGTCTATTATCTTGCTTTGGTTTTATTTCGCTGATATGTAATTTTTCTGTTATTTTATCTGTTTTTTGTTCAACAACTTTTTCAGCTTCTCTGCATACCTGTGAAATTAAATATTATATAATTAATCATAGAAATCGATTTATATATTAGCTGTCGCATGCAACTCCGACCCCGAGGAATATCGATAAATGAGCGAGCGGCCACCTGAAATCGCTGAAATAGCGAAGTGACCGTTGCTCATAGACATACACAATTGCATATGCGTTGCCTAACTTTAATCCACGTAGGAGAGGATGCACAGAAAGAAAATATTTTCCCTTTCCATTCATCCTCTCATCCGGAAAGTCCACTTCCGCTCCTCATCCTTTCCTAATACGCAAAAGGATGGGAAGGAAAAGAGGACTAAATTAGGCCTCCGGGACGCACAGTCATCAGACTGCACGTCTTCTGTATGGTCGTGGTATATCACTGAGCGAGTCGGGACAATTCCTGCGAAGATGTTAAAGCTCGCTCTACCACTGTTAAATTCTTCCAGACTTTGTTCTATATTTATGTTAAATTTTGGCGAGATCTATTAAGTCTTTCCGGATATGCCATCTAACATCCATCTGTTCTATCTTTAGCGGATAGATGGTGCAAATTAAAAAGCCCAGATACTTAATAAAAAGATGCGAATTGCAGAATGATTTGCAGGTAAGTGACACGAATAGACAGAGACGTATATATATTGCCCAATCGCCTGATGCGGGCATCGGTAACATTCTCGCGATGGCGGTTTGCCGCAACATTTGCGCAGGCGTTAAGTCTGAACACCATCCATCCAAACTTTCGCTTTTAATATATTAATAAAGTATAGTTATAACGAAATACATATATATGCTTGGAATTGCCACTAAGATTAGACCAAAAATCTAGTTTTCTGACGGAATGCGATCTAGAAATTAAAAACGTCTTCAAAACTTCAAACAGCATAGTTCAGTACTTAAATATAGTATTTTATTCAAAAGGAAAACATAAAACCATAGTCTGGAAGAACATGTAGGCTACTAATTGTTTTTTAAGTTCCAAGCGGACGGAGTTGTGGGCTACAGCTGGTAAACTATTAAAAAGTCCTTAACATGTAGTTTATGTATAACAAAACTGTGGTACCTGATCGACAATATGTCTTCCAGCGGCTGCGGCGGCGGGAGGAGGCGGGGCGGGCTGTTTCTTGGGCGTGCGGGGGGCGGGGCT